GCTCCCCTGACTACAATGTCCAGCAAAACATCAGAATAATCGAAAACCGGTGAAATATCGGGTGGTGTGTACTTCCAAATGTCCAGCAATTCGTCTCTGGTGAAACTGATTGCAGGGATATAACTAAAGACAGGACAAACTAACAAAAACATAAAAACAACTGCAGAGCACGCCACGGAGGCAGCCATCAGCGTCGGCGCCATTAGTGCCATATCACAGTCATATGTACATAATGCTTAACCCTATAAAGCCTACTTTATCATATTCGATATGCAATTTTTTAAGTCCTCTATATTATCAACAAGATCAAACCTTTGCTGTTGTACACAATATACTACATGCCTTTTGTCATCTCTGACTGAGGTTTTGTACTTTTTTAGCAAGTAAAAGGCCTTTCAATATAATTCTAAAAACAGCCCCCTTAAGGTTGTCATCTTTTTGCTGTGAAATCTTTACTGATTTTTATAAAGTAAACATCAGAATCTAGACTTTTCATCATAAAACTAAGAATTTGAATATAATATTACTAAGACATGTTATTGGGAGATATAGAATGATAGAATGATTACTTTTTTGGCCATATAAATAACAGCATTTGCTCCAAATCTGATATATAGAGCTATGTATTCTCACTATATCATACTATATATAAGCCATAAAAGCTAAAATAAAAACATGTATGCAAACCCTTTTTATATTTTTGTGCTCAAAACATTCCATTTAAGAAATGGCTTTTTTAAAAGGCCAGGCTTTACAGGGTTAATTGTAGGTCATGCAAACTTACTAAATCTTTGGAAAAATATTCAGTCTCAAGCATTTTCATGCTTTGTTGGATTTTTATAATGAACATTTGGTTAGTACATATAAATGCACTTCTTGACGTCAAGTATTGATATTTGCAAGTGTGTATGAGCTTTGTGAGCTGCGGTAAATGTTTTTTTTTTTTTCCGTGAATTATTTATTTAGCATCTTTGAAGTGTCAGCTACGTCAGGTGTTCACAAAAATATAGGTTCTTGGTTTCCAGGCAGTGATATTTCACATAATGAGTCCAGAGTTTAATCTGCAGTTACTCTGCAGCACATGCAAAATAAACAGAGTGTAATTTACACATGGAAACAGGCTGCAGTATGCATAGTAGCTCTCATTTTCAAGCTCATGCATGAGACGGAAAGACATAATCTGTTCTCAGGACTTTAATATATGCTATAGATCTACCTGATTTATTGTCATGATTCTGTCATGATTTTATGCAAATCATAAAAGCACAGTCCTTAAGGCATCAAAATACTCATTTCAGAACAATCCAAATGATCTCCCAGATCATCATAACATTCACTAATTGGTAGTTCTGGGTATCCAGCATCCAGCTTTAGCGCTGTGGCACTTGATCGCAAAAGCTAATGAGCTGTTTTGTTCTTTTTCCTGAGATAACCTGTGCTGTCATACTATTTTTTTTTTTTTGTCAGGTGAAAATGCAAATCTTACTGTGTGCCATCATATTGCATGCTCATAGTACTTTTTGTCCGCATAGGCCACGTTTAACGCAATTACAGAGGCTTGGGGAATGTGGATGGGAAAACACCCTGTACAGAAATCAGTTGCAAAACATGCACTGCACTAAAAGCAAATATCAAGTATAGTGGCAAACACATTTAGCTTGACGTTGTGAGTGTTTTAAATTATTCAGTGTTACACTTTTTGCTGCAAGTGACGTCACTGCCTCAAATTCTGTTTGTTATTACTAAGAAGGGGACATATATTTGATGTTCATTTCAATGGCACAAATCAGCACTATTCGAGCACAAACGAATGACACCGGTTTTGTGCGATTTAGACGAACTGGGGTGGAGAGTAACATCACAGCTCCTAAAAACATTTTGGTTATATCTAAGGAAGTAAAATAGATACAGCGTTTGTTTTAACGGCACAAACCCAGCACAAATGAACTGCGCTGATTTGGAGCGATTTGGGCAACATGAGGTGGAGAGTGACATCATACTGTCAAAAAAATAATGTTTAATATCTCAAACACCAAACAAGCACAAACGTTCGTTTTTGCAGCACAAATGTATAGCACAAACGAATGGCATAGTTTTGGTGATTATTTCTTTTTATGGGGTGCCAAATTCACAGAGGTAGAAGATTGAAGGTCAGCAGATTTGCGAAACAAAAAAAAGCAAAGAAAGCAAAAAAAAAAAGAAAAAAAGCATATACCGTATTGACCCGAATATAAGACGATGTTTTTTTCTTGGAAATGCATCTGAAAAAACGCGGTCGTCTTATATTCAGGGTCTAGACTTTGACATGACAATAATACACCCACAACACTAGGTGGCGCCAAATACGCATAAAACGAGTGTGCCATGAAATACGTAATGTAATGCGTGTTGTAAAGATCGCCAGTAAAAACAAAAGAAAAAGAAAACCTTACAGCTGCATGAATCCTGACTGTCACGTTAGCATGATGGGACCAAACTCCCTTTGTGATTTTAAAACGTAAGACAGTACCCAGATTTGAAGACTACAGTAAGATTTAACTTCTACTGTTAATAAGATTTTGGTAGGCTACTATTAGATGGATAGCCTAAATGTCCTAATTCAGATGGGCTACCAGTTTTTTTTATTTTTTTTTATGGTATATCAAAAAGTGTATATTTTTAAAACGTGATTGTTGGTACATTTTACCAGTTTTTATCATACTTTCAAAACAAAAATTAAAATAGGAAAAATATGCAATATGAAAATAATTGAAGACAAAATGTGTTTTACTGAGAAAAACAAGATTTGGTTTTTAAAAAGCCTTTTTCCAAAAGGTACATCTGGAAAAAGGGGGGTCGTCTTATAATCAGGGTCGTCTTATATTCGGGCCAGTACGGTACATTAAAGGATTAGTTCACTTCCAGAATGAAAATGCTGTCATCATTTACTCTCCCTCCACTTGTTCCAAACCTGTATGAGTTTCTTTCTTCTGTTGAACACAAAATATGATATTTTGAAAAATGTTGGTATCCGAACAGTTGATGGTAACCATTGACTTCCATAGTATTTTTTTTTTCCTACTATTGAAGTCAATGGTTTACCATCAACTGTTCGGATACCAACATTTTTTAAAATATCTTTTTTTGTGACAATTTTTTTTGTCCAAAAAATCCTCTATTGTGTGGTGTCATTACGATTATTTATCTGCTCCCGATCGAGACGGAGCGTCCCCAAACTCAAATCGTAAATATGAAACATGTTTGATATTTAAAAACTCTTGATTAGAGACGCGATAGCCAATGAGAGTGAGCAAGCGTCACCAACCGGAGGTTGCTTGCTTCTATAGCTGAAAATTGGCAGCCACAAACATGCTGATTGTCCTCTGTTTGTTTTTCTTCTCTAGTCACGTTTGATCTCTCGAGTCTCCGTGAGATCGCGTGTCACTGTGAAATCATTCCTACAATCGACAAGTGTGTGGTCATGCGGTCTGGTCGAATCGTCTAGTGTGTGCGTTCAGAGGATTATAAGGCTAACAATATGTTGAAACGGTCTTCATGTCTGTGGTCTCCCATGGTTTTAAAATCGTTGAAGATTTGAAAATCGTCTAGTGTGTCCCAGGCCTTAGTTTCAGTTACCATGGACATTCATTAATGAGCACACCTGTTTGTATTTAGTTCATCACCATTGTGTATTTAAGTTGCTCACTTCCTCGCCTTCATTGTTTGTGTTAATGTTTGCATGCTGTCTCGAGTTTGTTAAGGCTTTGGAGTTTGCTATATTAAATATTACTTTTATTTATACCTGACTGTTCTTTTTTATCATCTTGGACAAAACATGACATTTATAGTATAATTAAATAATTATGATTGTTATATGATTGTTAAAATTAATTTTTGTTAAATACTTGTTTATTTTAACAGTACAGTAGTAATGCATTTCTTTCTTTATTTGTTTAATTTCTATAATTTTAATGATAACTACAAATATTTTTATTATTATTATTATTATTCTGTTTTTGAAAGTGTTTTATTTGTCTTCTGTTGCAGTGCCTCGTTCAATACTGCGCCCTACCTGGGACTGGAGGACCAAACCTGAGAGCCGAGACTTTGATGAGCTCAATCACATACTGCAAGAGAGCAAGAAGCTTGGCAAAGCGCTGGAGAACCTGTCCCGCAGTAAGTGACTGGACAACTACCCAGTGAAAAATTGAAAAATTAAAATTCTGTCATTAATTAATGCCCCTCATGTCGGTCCAAACCCGTAAGACCTTCATTCATCTTCGGAACACAACTTAAGTATTTTTGATGAAATGCGAGAGCTTTCTGACTCTCCAACACAACTGAAACATTTTATGGCCCAGAAAGGTAGTTAAGACATTGTTAAAATAGTCCACGTGGCATCAGTGGTTCAACTGTGAAGTTACGAAGCCGCCAGAATACTTTTTGTGCACTAAGAAAACAAAAATAATGACTTTATTGAACGATTTATTTTCTTCAATGTCAGTTTCCGCCACTATTCACGAGAGTACCACGACACATGCATGTGGTGCTGATGACACAGTAGCCGACGTTCTGACGTAGAACCCGGATAACTGACACGGAAGAAAAGAAATTGAATAAAGTCGTTATTTTTATTTTCTTTGTGCACAAAAAGTAGTCTTGTAGCTTCATACGGTTGAACCACTGATGCCACATGGACTATTTAAAGTCCTTAATACTTTTCTGGGCCTTGAATGTGTCAGTTGCGGTGTTGTCTATCGAGGGTCAGAAAACTCTCGTGTTTCATCAAAAATATCTTAATTTGTGTTCTGAAATTAATCCGGGACCCGACCGGATTTTCTGCGCCGCGGGATTAAATTCCCGAATAAAACGCGGTAGCAGTCGGTAACTCTGGTGTAATTTGAACAGGAGCGGGTGGTCTAACAATATCCCATTCCCGACATCCATTTAGAACAGCATATCTGCACTTTATTCTTATTGACCAGTTAAACGAATTGTATCCTGACAAGACGAATAAAAATAAGAAATACAATTTTTGTACAATTTTATTTTCTGACACTTTTTTTTCCCCTACTGTGTTGCATAAAATATTAAACAGAGTGAATATATAGCGGGAGCGGGTGGATGCAGAATAGAACCTTGCGGGAGCGGGACTAAAAAAACAGTCCCGCGCAGACCTCTATTTGGAACAACATGTGGGTGTGCAATTAATGACAGTATTTTCATTTTTGGGGGAACTATCCCTTTAAGAAATTAACTGTGTAACTGTGAAATTTCTCTATTTTAAAAAAATATTCAAAAAGAAACTGCAGCTAAAGGCTCTCTGGGTCAGTGGTTCTCAACTGGTGGGTCATGACCCCAAAATGAGTTGGAGGTCTGTTCTGACAGCAGGAAAAAAGCAATGCCAGAAGCAAATAATAAAAAACAGCTAACTATAAATAAACTAAATAAATAGGCTTATCAACTCCATATTAAAAATTATATTCAAGGTACTGTGTTGGGCCATCATGAATTCTGAGTCCTGAAAACCAATTGAGAACCTCTAATTTAGAGTGTCCTATAAACTATTTTCTGAAGACATTGATTTGTGAATTATTTCCTTTGCACAGGCATTGCTGTTTCTGATGACTTTGACCTGGTATGATGCTTTTTATTTCTTTTTATCTGATATGCTATCTTGCAGTAATAGAAATCAAATACTGTTATGGATTTGTTTAGGAGATGAAGAAAAGCCTAGTTTGATTGTGGTTTGTGTCTAGACTCAAATCAAAAAAAGAAAATAAATCAAAAAGATGAAGAGAGAATCCAGCTAAAACATCTGCCTTAGTCATATTTCTCAGAATACAGTACATTTTTTTTAACTTTAATAGCCTGTGTCTTTTTGGCCGTTTGCCCAGGCTTCCCTCTGTTCCCATTTTGGTATTTCAAGTGAATATTAAAACATTTAGCTATTAATGCAAATGAATTTCTTCCTGTACCACTGTTATAGAGGACATTTTCTCATAATTGCCTGTTGCTGATAAACTACTGCAAAAATGTAATGTCAAAGCTGAATTTTTTATTACTGCTCACCATGCGTATCCTCCATTATTAAAATCTATTCACCGTAAAAATGACTGGCCACACAAGTAGCTTGGATAATGAGTCATACTTCAACATCGGTCCTTTTAATGATCACCTCTGTAATTGATTACTCCTTTGCATAACCACAGATTGTTTAATGTTTATGTCTCTCTCCGTTCCTCTCTCCTTTTCTGTTTGTCACACCTTGGCCTCCTTTTCAAAGGACCCTCGGGCGTATAACTCCATACTGAGGCCGCGGGTGGTGGGTGAGTGGGTGGGCCGTGAGGAGGAAGATTCTGACCCTCTTGAGGCTGAGATGATTAAGCCCCCTGTCCCAAGAGCCAAAACTGAGGGTTGGGTGAGCAAAGACAACAGTCCTGTTGGAAGGTGAGGCACACTTATGTATTTAATTGGATTAGATACCAAAAAGAGATCTGCAAACAAATGGTAGTACAGTATATGCTTGTCTTTTGAAACCCTTAAGACTTACTTTCCTTCTTTGAACACAAAAGGTGATATTTAGCAAACTGTCCAGGTTGTCCAGCAATAGACTTCAGCAGATGATTTGGCTAAACTAACACAATACAACAAGACAAAGAAATTAGCTAACATAATATAAAAAGTTACCACAGTTTAAAAAATATTAAGTTTATACATAACACACACACACACACACACACACACCATGAACATGATGAATCAAAGCTCAGCACATGTAGCTTTTCCACAAACTGAGGTAAATACTAATATATAGAAGTTGTATAATGTTATACAAAACACCATCATTTTAACACGACACTAAAATAATGCAATACACAACTGAAAAAAAATAGGCATAAACAAAGTTTATATAAAAGGAAAACTGTCAATTTATGGTTTTATGCTGTAAATTATAAGATTGCTTCATGAAAATTACATGAAACCTCCCATTATAGATCTATCATAATTTTTCACCTATAAAGTAATGTTTTTTAACCGTAGCATTTTTACAGTCTTTTACTGTTAAAATTATTATCATTTTGTACAGTGTGACTTCAGAATACTCAGAATATAGTGCATGTGTCATGTGGATTATTTTTATGATCCTTTATGGTGCATTTTTGTTGTTTTGGAGATTTGACATCCCATGGTCCCCATCCACTTTCATTGAATTTAAGAGATTGTATTTGTATGAGAGTGTTTCTCTTCATTTTTACTTCCTGTTAAGTTGTTGAAAGGAAAGATCATGACAGCCCATCACATTCTAATTTGTTCTAGAAGATAAGGGAGTTTATTTACATATAAAAAGTGTTGTAATAAAGTGAGTCAGAGTTTAATAAAGCATATGTCATACTGTATAATGTAATTTCTCTCAATATCGCCATAAAGCTGAGATGTTTTGTCAGGTTTTTTAATCAAAGAATGCCGTAGCCTCTGGTAACCCCGCATAAATCCCTGGAGGGGAAAAGTTCTTTGAATGTGTCTGCATCACAAAGCTATATCTTTAAAAAGCAATTGCCGCTCCTCGACCCTTTAAATACGTTACCAGGGTGATTTTAATTGGCTAGTGTTTGAGTGGAGGGCAGAGGCTGGCCGCAGAGAATGCGGCTAATTAGAAAGGATCAGATATTAAATAATAAATCATATTCAGAAGCCGGCTGACAGAAGAGACTTCATTCCATTAAAATATTCTCTCACTTGATTACAGTAAATTATGGAGCCTCGGGTCTATACCGCAGGCGTTCCCAGTGCACATAGCTCTACAAGTGCTGCCAGAGACTTTCATTACAAAGGACGAAGGCAATGCTGCTGTGATCTCTAGCCTTACTCCTCGTCAGTATGAATGAATCATTACAGGAGTAAACGCATTCTCCTCTAGCATTGTGCTGTTGGGCTTCTGCTGTTCATTACGCATGTTTAGACTTTTGAAGGTACAACAGCTTATTACAGTTGATGCTAGATGATTGTGGTTTCTATAACAAAACATTGAGCGGTGGATTGATTTTTACGGAATATATTTATTAGGGCACGTTCAGGATGTGGGGATGTTGAGGATTCAATTTTATTTGTGTAGCAATTGAGAAATGCTTTCGTTGATGTTTTTTGCATATGAATTTTTCTGCTGATGTAATACTGCACTAAAATACTAAATGACAGAGTTTATTTATGTTTTACATTCAGATCTCAATTTTGATCAATTTAATGCATCCTTGCTGAATAAAAGTACTAGTTTCTTTAATAAATCGTACCGACCCCAACCTTTTGAACGGTAAAGTACTTCCAATAGTACTTTATGAACCAGTTCTTTACAGTACAGTGCGATCAGTGTACGTGTACGTATCAGTGTTATGAATGTTTTTTTTTTAGTGATTCAGAGACATACAGTGCAACCAGTGTGGCCAGATGGCTGTTAACCCTTTTTAGTGAATCAAAAATATACAATGCAACCAGCGTATTCCTAGTCCTGAACACTGTAGACTGTAAAATATAACTTCCTTCCACTATAGAAAAGTGAAGCCAAAACATGGCTGCTGTCATCTTACGGATATGACGTCATTTGGAACCCGAGTCTGTGCAGTAATGATCGTGAGGTGGGCATTTTTTTTGTAACATCAAATATGTAATTAAAAGCAAACTTATTAGAAAAACGAACACTTAAACATACATCAGCGTGATAAGAGCTACCCAAAATGATGTA